ACAGTGACAGTGTGCAGGTGGCCAGGATCATCCGCCACCCCAAGTACAGCCTTGAAAAAGGAGCAAAAGGTGGGGCGGACATAGCACTTCTCAAACTGGAGGCCCCCGTGCAACCATCTAACCTAATCAGGTGGATCAGCCTCCCGCCAGCCTCCTCCGCATTCCCCCCAGGCACACGGTGCTGGGTGACTGGCTGGGGCAACACTGCTTTTGAAGGTAAAAACCAGAACCAGGATGACACCAGGGCGATGCAGGGGGCGGGCCGGGCATTATAGAGGAGGCTCAGCTGGGGTCTGAGCTGGGGTCCCTCCAGGGTCTCCCTTGGGTGTAGGAGGCAGACAGCTCGAGAGGAGTCTGTTAAGGAGCGGAGACCAAAGTAGCAAGAGTGAGGCATGGCCATGGGCATCTTTTTTAAAAAAATATCACCCAGAAATATTTTTTCCATTGATTTTTAGAGAGAGTGGAAGGGAGAGCGATAGGAAACATCGATGTGAGAAGCATATCTATTGTTTACCTTTCCGGCCTGGGCTGGGGATTGAACCTGCAACCCAGGTACTTGCCCTTGACCAACAATCAAACCTGGGACCCTTAGGGCCAGTACTCCCACCACTAAGAAATGTCCCCAGGGAGGCATTTCTCTCCCTCACTCTGCACCAGGCCGTGTGTCTTCCCTTCCGGGGGTCCCCGTTCTCCCTGAGTCTCGATAGTGGGAGGGAGAACGAGGAGAGAGAACTTCAGTGACATGCTCAAGGATTCACTATTAAATGGACAAAGTCAAATTTGACAGTAGGGCCGCTTACTCTGCATTTCCTGGGGGAAAGCACTTGCTCTGATTTTTCCCAATAAAAATTATTTGTGCATAAAAATATATTTCGCTGTTTCTTTTTGGAGCTTGGTGCCCACAGTGTCAGCCTAGAGATTATCAGCCCATTGGCCTCGAGTGAATCCAGACAGTTGGGGTCTTGGGTGACTCCCTGGTCCCCCTGGGGGCACTGAGGCTCAGCCTGTGGTTCTAGAACCCGCGGCCTGTGACTGTCCGCCCCCTCAGGACCACAGGCTCACTGGGCTTCTTCTCACAGAGCCGCTGCCGCCGCCCTACAATCTGCAGGAGGTGGAGGTCCCCATCGTGGCGAATGAGATCTGTCAGCAACAATACGGCTATGTTATCCAGGACGACCTGCTTTGTGCCGGGAGCTGGGGACGGGGCACCTGCAATGTGAGACCCCCAGACTGTGGCCTCCGTCCATTGCTCCTGCCTGCAGGGGCCCTGAGTATTGACCATCTGTCTCCTCTTCCCACAGGGTGACTCTGGGGGCCCCTTGGTCTGTAAATGGAGGGAGACCTGGGTCCAGGTAGGCGTGGTGAGCTGGGGGAAGGGCTGCGGTCTTACCAACTTTCCTGGAGTCTATGCCCGAGTGACATCCTTCTTGCCTTGGATCCGCCATCATATTCATTCCTCTCCTTGAACCCGGGGCCGGGCAAGGATGCTGCCCATGAGATGAAGACAGGCCCTCCAGGGTGTCTGGGGGACCCTCCCTGCTCCCTCCCAGTGCCAGCTCTTCATTGCACCTAGCGCCCCTCCTCCATCCCTCCCCCCCCAGCCCCTCTGAGATCCTCCTGCCTCAGCACCTCCATCAGCCTCTCTCCCCTGACAGGCAAAAGGGAGAGGTGGGGTGTGCTCTGCAGTCGGGCGGGCACTGCAGGACTCCTGCCTCCTCCCCGCCCCCTGTAGCTCATTAAACTGCATGAAAAACTGCTCTGGACTCAGTGGACTTACCTGTGGGCGTGGCCAAGGCGGCCAGTGCGTGGTCCGTGCTGCTGGGGGGGCCCAGGCTCTGGGAGGTGGACCAGGTGGGATGGGCAGCTATGGCTGCAGCGAGGAAGAGGGCAACCTGGCGGCTCTCCTGGCTGGGGTGGAGGTGAGTCTGCTGCCCGGGGCTGGAGGCCACAGCCCGGAGGGCCGCCCCAGAGGGTGCAGACCGTCCCTCTTCCTCCTTCAGTCGCAGTCAGTGTGTCATGGAGGCTTTAATGACCTGGACCTGGCCCCATGCAAACAGGAGGTGCTGTGTTTCCATGGTCAC